TGTGCCCTGCAGTAGAATGCTATATCACATGGAATATTATGACAGGTTAATGACACTGTTAAGATCATTTAATCAAATATCCTGCTCACCAGTCAATTTCCAATTTTAGTTTAATTTTTCAGAGTAGATTTGTTTTCTCCCACAGCAAGTGAAAAAAAAATCTACTGATTAGCTATTTTGAGAACTATACTTAGCAATATTTCTTTCTTTAAATAGTAATTTGACATTCTGACTTACATATCAATCTCTTACAAGCTTAAATAATATTATCCCAAGTCCAGTAACTTCTGGATCTATAAAGTTAATGCCTAAACCTGGACCCTGTGAAGCCCTCACTATGCATTCTCAACTATAACATCTCTAGCTCATATCTCTACAACAAATGATGATTCATACCTAATACCAAAATTGATATAGAAATCTCTTACAAAATACCTATAAGGGCCAGGTGTGGTGGCGCACACCTATAATCCCATAACATGAAACTTTGGGAAGCCAAGGCAGGTGGCACTTTGGAAGGCTGAGGCGGGTGGATCACTTGAGACCAGGAGTTCGAGACCAGCCTGGCCAACATGGTGAAACCCATCTCTACAAAAAATTCAAAGATTAGCCAGGCATGGTGGTGTATGCCTGTAATCTCAGCTACTTGCGAGGCTGAGGCAGGAGAATCACTTGAACCCTGGGAGGCAAAAGTTAGCAGTGAGCCAAGATTGCACCACTCCACTCCACTCCACTCTAGGGGACAGAGTGAGACTCTGTCTCAAAACACACACACACACACACACACACACACACACACACACACACTTTAAAGCTGTTGTAAAAATTAAATGAGATAATGTATGTAAAAATGTTTCAGTATAGGGTCTCAAACTCTTCAATATAATAGTATTATGACAACTCTAAGATTACAGACCTATACTCAAACATAGTACAAATTCCTCTTTGCCTCTCTCCTCTTTCCTAATACTCCTCTTTTATTCTTGATCTTGGTTACCCTTGTTACCATTTAATCAGCCATTCTACTCAAAAACCAAGGAACCATTCTAGACCCTTTCCCCTATTACGTCCACATTCAATTTGTCCTGCTGATTCTCCCTTAAATTAAAACTGTCCTTCCCAGTGGCCCCCAACATTCTTTCACTAGGCTGTGATTCTCTTTCCTCAGGACATTTGTAACAGTCTCCCTTCCACATCTATTCTCTATACCACCCAACACAAATCTGACCATTTCTCAATTTTCACAAATTCTTTTTAAGTAAATCTTTTAAAATTTTGATCAAAAACTTATTGTAAAATATACTTCCCTGCCTTTAATATACGTTTAAAAGAACATGAGACTACATCTAATATTTTCTTAAATCAATTACAGCAAAATCAACTTGATTTACTAAGCTGTGGAGAAACATTGTAGATAGCCCAAATCAAAACTAATGCAAGGGTCAATTAGCCAGGAGTGGGTAGATTAATTTTTTTAATAATCTTTTTATTTTAGAGCAATGTTAGATTTATAGAATATTGCAAAGCTAGCACAGAGTTCCCATATACCCCTCATCCTTATTATTAACATTTTACATTGTACAGTACATTTGTTACAATTAATAAACCAATGTTGAAGCACTGTTTTTAACAAAAGTCCATACTTCATTGAGATTTCCTTAGTTTTATTCAGTGTTCTTTCTCTGCTCCAGAATACCACATTACATTTAGTTGTCTTTTCTCCTTAGCTCCCTTTGATTGTGACAGTTTCCTAGACTTTCCTTGTTTTTGATGAATCTGATAGTTTTGAAGAATACTAATGGGTTATCTTGTAGAATATTCCTCTGTTGGAATTTGTCTGATGCTTTTTTCATGATTACACTGTGCTATGGGGTTCTTGGGAAGAAGGCCATGGAGATAAAGTGCCATTTAATGACATCACACTAAGGGTACATACTATCAACATGCCATATGACTTTACAAGTTAACCCTGATCACCTGGCTGAAGTAGTGTTCATCATGTTTCTCCAACGTAAACATTCTTTTTTCCCTGTCTCTAAACTATGCTCTTAGGAAGGAAGTAACTATGTACAGCCCATATTTAAGGAGCAGGAAGTTATACTTCACCTCCTTGAGGGTGAAGTAACTACACAAATTATTTGAACAGAGACCTATAGCCCTCTCATCTTGATCAAAAATTGCCAACACACTCAAGAAAACAAAAACAAATACAGGGCCTCAAAAAAAGAGGTCATCTTTGGGCCTAGTCTGCAAGGTGAGCTAAGGGAAAGTTAAGCAAAACAGTCTCTGGTCCCCTCACTCGCATGTCAACAGCAGTAGTTCAGAGCAGCCTGTCTCCTTTCTTTCTATGGGGCAGGGAATCTTAGGAAGACACACTAAAACTACAAAGACAGCTGCAGGCTGTTCCCTGCAGCACTTCAGTTAATTAAGAGGAGACTGTTAAGCTGCAAGCACTGAAGTCCGTACAGTTACTGGGATAAAGGTGTTACCAGCTCCAGAATTCAGTAATTTTGTTAAGCCAATAGACTGTCTCACCTGTGGAGCGAAGTATATGAGATTTGGAGATATTTTCCCTAATGTTCAATGTGGTTGTTTTATAAGAGGTTAAGGACATGGATGTTTTAAAGATAAGATCTTACTACCAGTTAAGCAGGCATTTGTGAACAGTGCCAAAGAAGCATTAAGTTCCAGAACAACTAATAGCAGTCCCTAGCATAATCCCTGGCACATGATAGTACTCAAACGTTTGCTGAATGATGAACAAATGAGTTCTAAGAACTAGAGGGGACAAGCAGCTGTCTGCATTGGTATGTAGTATTCAAATGGCACTGGGTCAATTTTTAGGGCCTGCCATGCTTTGCAATCTTTCTTCAGAGGCAGGCAACAATTTCCCAAACCCTACTGGCTAAACTGTGGAGGCCTTATATATTAGTATTACTTAAAGCAAAACAACATTAGAATAGCACTGTAGCACATATTAGGTGTTCAATAAATGCTTGCTAAATTAATGAACAATCCCTCAAATAAAGTGGATTCATCCAGAATTCAAAAAGGAATTTATTAAGAAAGTTGATTAGCTGCCAGTATTCTTTTGGGCATGCTAAAAGCAGGTTACTATACAACTTGAACCCGTTTTGATCAAAAAGGTATACTTCATATGCCTAGTACAGGAAAACTCAAAGTTTTGCTGAATAGAATAACTGAATAAACAGATAATCAAATAATCAATTATCTTTCTGAATATACTGAGGCAAAGATATTAGCAATATATATTTGTGCATGGTTGAGTCCCCAAGAACAACTCCCCAACTCATTTCATTACCACAAATCAGAGGAGCAGTGTGGCATAGTGAAGAGCTCCCAGTCTGTAACCAAATTATCTGAGTTCAAATTCTGGCTCTAGCCACAATGTCTAGTGACTTCAGCAGATGACTTAACTTCTGTGCCTCAGTTTCCTCATCTGTAAAATATGAGAAGAATCACTTCCTACTCTATAGGGTTGTTATGAAAATTAAATGAGTTAATATTTATAAAGGGCTTAGAAAGAATACCTGGCACGTAACACATTATATAAGTGTTTGCTTAAAAAATAAGTACTTTCACTGCTACAAAATCATTAACAAAATGGGGTACTTGAGAAAACTGAAAATTAACTTATTTTACACTTTGAGACATGTCATCTTCTTATAAGTAAAATTATTTCAATATTTAGGAAAGCTGTTTAAAATTGCCCAATATCCAAAGAAGCATTCCTTAATGTCACTATTTTAAAATAGCCATTCAAAATAATTAAACTGCAAAAATATTAAATGCTAAAGACAGAAAGAACATGAAGGACACGCTTCTGTAAGTGAATAGGCTCAGAAAACTGATAATGGTTTTTCTTGATTCTTAAGGGGGCATATTTGGATTAAAAACAAGGTATAGTTGGTTTCTCATGGGCATTTTAGGTGAGATCTTCAATTATATCTCCACAGGTTTACTGGATTTCATGTTTTATTATTTTTTATCTTTGATTTAAAAATTTCAGTATCAAAATCTGTTGCAAATATGCTATTAAAATTTAGAACAAAAGCATTTTTCCTCTGAGTCATATACTATGTAATATAGACAGACTAATGATTATTTCAATCTGTGTAAAGGGTGCAATGATCACATCTAAAAGTTACTTCAGAAAATTAGAGAAACATGACAATGTAGAAGAGATGGAAAAAACACTACACATTTGAATATAAAGTAGAATTCATAATAAAATGCATTTGAATTCTTCTACTTGTATAATTACGCAAAAGCATACTGGACCCTGCTTTTCACCAAAGCATCATAAAAAAATTTACTGAAATTGACAGTGAATTGTTTTAAGTAGCACTTCCAAGATTTCATTTACATACTACTATCTTCTCCCTTAATGATGTCTCTTCACCAATACACGGGTCCTACCTACCATTTCTATATTTTCCATTCAAATACTATTCAACAAATTTTTTAAGCATGTATATGGCAACAACTAGCTCTAAAGATAACCCTACAAAATCCTTTCAGGTCTTTAGCTATATAATATATCACCATCCACTTTTTTGTCAGTCAAAAAATCAGGTTATAAAATGCATTTTGGCAGTAGAGGGACTTCGCTTGTACCGTAACTGTCTAAAGATTATCTTGCTACTAGCCAGGGTAATTTTTTTCCTCTTTCCTTTTTTCTCTGCAGTGCTTCTAAGTATAGTGACAGCGCATCAGGCTTTCCTAGTCTCAGCGCAAGCTCAGTGAAAATCTGGGAAATGTAAGTGGAAACATGAGAGACCGCTTTATTTGGCAGTGCTTAACAAAAAAAAAAAAAAAAAAAAGTAGGGGGCAGGACAAATGGCAAAGCAGTGTTTGGACCGCAGGATGAACAATCAATAGGCAGAAAGCAAGATTGAGGTTTCCTCAGCTTTTGGATCGACAATCGACAGCTGAGAGACTATTTTTTGCTATGGTTGACTAAATATGGTCAGGGAAGAGAGAGGCACAAGAGAGCCTGTTTGCCTGGGAGTGCATGTTTCAAATGCTTAGCTGCCTATAAAGCTGTAACAGTTTAGCCTGTGGTCACTGAGGAAGAATATAAGTTAGCCTCGTAGTGACCATGTGGAAGTCCTGACCTCGATTGCAGACTTGACCTCTGGATGTGACAAGGTAGCTTCACTACAGATCTACCATTTGATCCTGGAAACTAAAAATCAAAAAAAAAAAAAAAAAATCTCAAAGCAAGAAAGATGCAGACTATTTCCTAAGAAGTCAGAAGAACCCAATGTATTCTGGTGGGCAAAGAAAAACAGGGTGAATGTTTACAATTACTTGGTGAGGGGGGGAAGTAAGGTGTGTTTGGGTTCTGGGGTTTTTGTTGGTTTTTTTTTGTTTGTTTGTTTTTTGGTCTTTTTTTTAGATCATAAAATTAACTTCTGCAACTTTGTCCCCTCTTCTGAAGCATTTCATCTGACAACTAGGTTCATTTTCCTCGCCTTTGTAGCAGGCTTTTAAAATTGCTTAACTTTCCCTACATATCTGTGCAAGAGTTTTATATGACATTCCAAATCAAAAGGCCAACGCTGATTCAATTTAATTGCAGAGTTTTTTTGCTGGTGGTGGTGTTTTTTGTTTTTTGTTTTTAATGCGAAAAGGGGAGGAGAGGGAAAAGTAGGTTGTTTTTTGTTTGCTCGTTTGTTTTTCAAATTTATCTTACAAGGTGAGGTTCTGTGTTCACTGACAAATCCCCTTCCTTCACCGGGCTCATGAAAAGAAATTGCTGAATCAGCGAATAGAGTGAACGAACAATCAAGATGAGATGGCTGCTGCTGATGTGACTCTCTAGGTCATTACCTTTCTTCCTGCTGCAAATGCTGCATAACACTAAGCTTTCAGGTAACAGAGCCCCACAAGGCCTGTACTTTTAAGAATGCTTATGACTTTCTGCATGCTTACCTATTATTGACTCAATATATGTTCTCACTGTTAAGTTAAATTCTATCTAAGCATAGCCTAATTTCACAATTCAAGTTGAGAGCTAATGTAGTGTAAAAATGAATACTGTTCAAATATCATGGCAATAATTTTTATCTAAAAATGTACAAATTCATTGTCATTTACATTACTAAAGATTTAGTCATTATTCTTTCAGGTTAAGTGATAATTTTGAATCTCTAGTAAGTCACATCCTGCTTCCAAAGTATACTTTTTTTTTTAAACTGTTAGCTTCTATTTCAAGGTCTAGTCACCCAAGAAACTTGACAGATCATAAAATACTTTTTAATGCTTACCATTAATTGGCCACAAAAATAAATCAGAATGTGCATGGTGTAATTTTAATGCTGCATTGCTGAAACTGCTGTAATGCTGGGCTATCTACTGCTACATTCTGATTTGCTCTCTATAAGCTGCACTAGCTTTTTGTCACGAGCTGCAGAAATTCTACTATCATCCCTGCCCTTTGTTTTTTCCTCTGCCAAACTGAAAATTTCTTGAGGTTTTCTTTTAAATTAACCTTCTAATACCATAATAACTGAGCCTTCTTACCAACTGTATTTTCTTTTCATGCTAAATGATCAAGGCAAAACCCAGGTGCTCATGGACTAAAACCTTTCAGTTCTTTGAAGTGATACTTTCTAAAAGTTGATGATTCTGACAATCATCCTGTATACTAAAAAGATTAAAGAATCAAAACCACTTAAACTCACCAAAATTAGATATTTCTACATCTATTTGAATTTGTATTCAAACCATATTTGTATTTAACCCAAAGAGAAGCACCGAAGTGCAAAATTCAGGTAAGGAACTAATAAAGAAAAAAGAATGACAGATTTTCAAATGACCATGAGTTCTTATCTGTGACCTTATGAAACACTAACAAAAATTCATAATCTTTAAAAGTTCAATTCACTCACACTCATCCTGGTTTTTCTCCTTGTTTCAACTTTGGAGTCAATATCAGAAATATTTATTGGTTAATTCGTTAAGTTTTGAGTAAGATACCTAGTTTGTAAGAAAGAAATTGAACTTAATTAATTACTATCTACCTGTAGGATCTAGAAGCAGACTACAAAAAAAGAGAAGAAATTCACTCTGAAGACTGAAGAAACAAAAGGCTGATTTTAAGTTTCTGAAATACACTCTGTAACACTACACTAATTCTATGAATCAAACCAGGACAAAGTTCAACAAATAACTGGTCAAATGTTTAGGAATGTCTATGTCCACCAAGAATATGGAACCATTAATGCCATGCTTCAGGTAAATTTGTTACAAAGTTTACTCTTCAATAAATCAGTCTCTGCAAATGATTTACCATTGCTCTACATTAGTAAGCTGAATGTTTCACTAACAAATAAGAAAATAAAATATTTCATGTTTTTACAGCTAACAACTTAGTAATACCTACTCAGAGTACATACTTCTTTATGTACCCATATGAACATACAATGCTATGGAATGTAAAGAAGTATGTATTTTTGGTAGGCAGTAAACCACCAAGAGAGAATTAAACTGCAGCTAAAAGAAGCTCTTGCTTCTTTCCACGTAAATGACCTTCATAAGGTAAATTAACTAGTCATGAACAGATGACCTTTGGCAATATTAACACCAAAAAAAAAAAAAAAAGGGAGGGGGGCTATCTGCTACTTACAGATAGAAACTAAATATCCATAAGGTTTTTATTTCACAAAGGAAAAGAAGTTCCAGTGAAGTAGATTTCAATTATCATGAAATTCCTTTTAAATCATCTAAGTTTAAAACATATCTCTTACATTAAGTACTCTCATTATTAAAATTTTGACTACAAAAGGGACAACAGTATTACTAGCACAAAAGAATGAGGAATACACATGACCTATTTTCTGTCTCCACAGTTTGATCTTAGTGGGGCTCACTTATTTGTATAGCAAAATAAGATATTAAGAGCTGGTTTCATTCACATAATAAGCTATTTCTTCACATTTTGATAAATGTATAATCTATTAATATTAGAGGAATTTCTGAACTGAAAAGTTTTATTGTTTTAAAAAGATTTCCTTTTTGACAGCTACAATCATAGTTATAATTCTTAAAGACTATCTTTTAAGTAAGACTCTACTGTCAAAAAAAAAAAAAGTGGCCCTTGTCCTTCTCGAGTTCATCAGGGTCTTAACCCAATCTCTACTTTAAATGTGAAGTTAAAACTTAAAATCAATTAAAATGCAAGATTTAAGCATGAAAAATGATAAAATGCTGTAAGTCAGCAGGGTATATTGGTAAGAGACTACCAGATATTTAAAAGAAATTAATTTATTATCTGTATTATCTTCGAATTTGCTTCTCCAAAGGGGGCATGTAAAATGAAAGCACTATAGTCAAGAACCAATTTATACAGATAGAATAACTGTTTTTATTAGTACAATGTAATTACAATTCAGTTTCTCTAAACGTGATCAATCCATTGTTTATGTTAGAAACATCAAAATAATTTCACACAGTTTGTATATTATTTATTTTAAAATTCTAAATAATGCTGTTGGCAAAATTTATAAGCAGTACTTGTTTTAAGCTACTAATGATAAAGTTAAAAAAAAAGAAATAGTAGTACTCAGGTATTCTAACCATTTCTTACTAAACATATTATTTCAACTGAAATACTTACACATGTATAAAAAGTGTACTTTAAATTTTTTGTATCAGAAATTTAATAGAAATGGCTATACATTTAACTATAGTTCATTTTCTCTCTGTTAAATAAGACAACTAGTTAACAGAAAGATGATTTTCATTTTATCAGCCAATTATAAAGATGATAATGACTATATACATGGCATCATATATGTTACTTCATGTTTACTGGAAATTATAAAAGGCACCTAATTTTAAATTCTGTATTTTCAAAGAAATTAGTTCAAAGCTTAATTCACATAAACATAGCCCTTCTGATCATCCACAAAACAGAATGGCCATGATTCATGTTCAATTTAGGAAGTTTACCTGTACAGGTCCTAAATACCGAGGACTCAAAATATACACCTCAAAAGTAGAGGCTTTTCTATAAAACTACTCAAAGGGTATTACCCTACTTGTGTTTTATGATAAACAATTATATCGGTCATTCTATAGGTATACAAGTTGTTTAATAATCCTTCTTAAGCATCCCAGCAACTAAGAATCTCTTTGCTGTAATATTAAGACTATATAAGTAATCCTTAGAAAATAAAATGACAGGCTTTCATTTTCAAAAGCAAAATTATATACTGATTCTGGTGCTTACAAATTTAACTTAACATATCTAAGAGTATTTTCAATCACTCTGAAATGTCACATCTATCACTTAGATCAGCTGTTCATTTTTAACTGAGTACATATTAAACTCTGGGCATCTGCTGACACTGGTATAACTCAAACATTTCAACTGTCTCCCTGACAGGGATAACAGATGCTGACATTATCAAATGTTGTACTATTTTTTTCCCATGGCCTCTCCTTGCCCCGATATGGCCAGTATATGAAACTGAACTGTCATCCAAAAGCACACTTGAGCAACTGGATCTGCTAAACAGCTCCCATATAACTAGTAAAAATAGAAGCCAGTGTTATTGCTATCTTCAGCACTTAAGTTCAAGCAGTTTAACACCTGTTTCACTTCTACTAGAATAAATGATGAAAAAGAACTGTAGTTACATTAATTTCACCAGCAGCATGACAGTTAACCAAGAGATGCAAAATATACTTAATATAAGAATCATTTGCATATTGCCTGAATTAGTGTTGACTTCCCAGTTTAGTTTAAAACAGTAACTGTAAAGAATACTTCTCTATTTTTCTAAGAGCACTTAACTTTATAGGCCAATTGTAATTTATTAAACTTTTATTTTATGCAAGTATGTTTCAGAAAGCACACCTCCCAAGATATTGAAATCAACAGTAAAACCACATTATAACAAAAAATTTACTCTGATTTTTCAAGTATTATTCACACAATAGATTTGAATACTTGTATTCATGGACTGCAACTAACCACCATAAGTCAATGTATTAATAAGTTGATAATGAGAAGTAACTAGGCAATCTGTACCCAAAATGACAAAGAGCTTAGTCAAGGAAATAGACCTTTAAAAGGGTTAAGTTACTAACCTATGATTAGTAACACTCCGTAAGCAAAAACAAAGAAAAACTGGCATGCATAGTAGTTCCTTTCAACCCAAGTCCAAGCATTACACTGAATACACATGTGATCTATTTATAAATCAAAGGGCAGAGGTACTTGCTTAAGGCCACTGATCCACCCACTGTCAACAATTTGCTATTAGTCCTCAACTATAATGCTAAGAAGGGAGTGACTAACAGAACTCTTCCCTAACCTATTAGATACAACTACTTAAGTAATCTAGTTTACTGCCTAGCTATAAATGGAAAACATTACTCTAAAATACATCAAGGTCTATTTGTTCCTTTAAATACTACTGGTTTTGAAACAGCTTATTGTCTACATTTAAGAATTAACCAAAGACTTCAGCTGTGGACACGATTAGAAAAATAAAAAGAATCAAGCAAAAATGTTGAAAATAAAGATGTACATTGATCATTCCTTAATGCAGTAATGTGTTAAAAGGAAAAGACTTTTAAACCATTAAGTGCAGGAAAGAGTAGGAAAGTGACTTCAGAATCGAAAATTTGGCATTTAGTGACTGAAGCAGTGATATGATAATTTCTAACACTTGTAGAAGGTCCATGATTGTAATTTTACCAATGAAAAGCATTTAACTGTTTTGGATCCCAAACTAGCAGCACTACAATGCTTTGCTAGAGCTGGTAAAATGGAACCAAATCGCCTCTTCAATGGATTTGGTCCCCTTCAACCAGCTGTAGCTATGCATTGATTACTACAGGACAACCAACGTTTTCATTTGTGAATAACAATTACTTGTCAACTAATTTCAACTTATTAAATTATTCAGACTGTGATTACAATCAAATAACTTGTTACTGTGAATTCTACCTGGAAAAGCTAGACTGGTTAAAGATGTTTATAAAAAGCTTTATGAAAAATGTGTCGATGACTTAAGGATTTCAAATAAAAATTTTACTTATTATAATCTCTTTGTATTAAATTTCTTATCCTTCAGAAAATAAAAGAACTGGTAATAAAATGTAGGCTATGCTTTATAATAACACAACAACAAAAAACTTCCTTCAAAGGAAGCAAGCATCTGGAAAGGTCACCTAAAAGCCACCTGAAAACAGAATGGGATTGTACAGTGTGGCTTACATGGATGTGTGCATATTTTGGGTTAAAGAAAACTGTAACATTATTATATAAGATAACACTGTAGAAATGTTTAGTCACTATCTTCCATAGAATTGGCCTTTAATTTTGCCACTATTTACCCAATGTTAGCAGGTAAGGTAAAAAAGATGATACTATAGAATATCTTGTGGAGAGGATTAAAACAGTATCTAGTTCTTCTGACCCTGAACCAAAAGTATTTAGTCCTCAAAAAAGAAAGAAAATTCTAAGCATCACTACTTTTTACTCATGAAATATTTCACCTTTCCATATTTGTTTTCTCAGCTGTAAAATAAAAACTCTGCTAGTGATAAATACTTTGACTCTCCTCACTGTCTTCTTTGTCCCTTATAAAAATGTATATATATACATAATATTCTCCTTCAGTGGGGATAAACTGAAGGAAAGGAAAATAACAAGTAACCTAACATCCATGTAATGTTCTTAATGATTTCAATAAGACTATAGATAATTTAATATTATTTAACAGAGACAAACATTTCAGCAATTAATAAAGATTACTGAAGACAAGAGTAGTTTAAAAACCTGGATGTTCACACATTCTCAACTCCTGACCACTCCTCTGTTTCAAAATGAAAATCATTCTCTAAAAGACTGTGGGCAACAGGAGATACATATAAATATGTATCTTTTCACTTCATTCAAGATCTTCTTCTTACTATTAATCACATCTCAGTCACGGTAAATACATTTATGTATTACAAGACATATAGTGTTTGAGAGTAGATGCATGAGCATACATTAGAGAAAATGGGCACACTCTTAAGTATCCTATTACTCGATAGACTGACCTATATTTTGTAGATAGCACTCAGCATGTTCACAGTTGTAAGGAAAGCATTAAACACCAAAATACTGTAAAGCTTATCAAATCTTCAAACAGTTAACATAGTCTTGTTTACAGACTATATTTCAGAATTTAAAAAGTAAAAAAGGCATCATAACATTCTAGAGGGAAAACTATGAGTTGATCACATATTCTGTAAGATTTTTATTATGTGTCTTTGTGGGAATTAG